GGAAAAAGGGAATGCACCATTCCCGGAGATAAAGTGCTGCAGTAACTGGGTGGGAGAGGAAATCCACCAAGTCATCCTGAGGCAGCAGGAGGTAGACGCCCTCAGAGGGATTGACTGAGGCAGGATCGCCTGTCCATGTGGCCTTGCCCATGAGTAAAGCCACAACTCGACGGCGCAAATGCTCACAGCACTTTGCGCGGTCAGCACTGTCTTCAATGATCGGAATATTCTCGAAGTTGAGCTCCTGCACCTGCATACTGGTGCCAAAGCATCTTTTCGAGGTGAATCCATAATTGACGCGGCAGTCAATCTCCTCGTTCACGACAAACCGCTTCAACAAGTCAGAGATGAAGTGCCCACGCTGCGACATCTCCTGGATACGAATGTTTGCTTTATTCCACGCGAGTTCTGCGGACTTGCGAAACTCTTGACGCTCTAGAAAGACACCACAGTCCAGTGTTGAGCTGGCGCTAGCGCTGAAGACTGCTCTGTCCAGGCACGCCTCCATTGTGGCCACTTTCTGGAAAGCCGCGCGCATGAAGCAGAGCTTGATCTGGAAGCCTGCCCAGTTCTTGTAGTAGATGGACTCCAGAAACGTACGCAGGCGCTCGCGGAAGTGCTAAATATCCAAGCTGGAGTCCTCACGGAGTTGATTCTCGTAGAAGTAGGGGTAGTCCAGAAAGAGGTAACAGTCGTTATTGGGTGACTTGGCGGCTGCGCGCCAATCCTCGTTGAGGTAGATATCGGGGAAGCAAACTCCTCTATATTTCGGCATGGGCGTCTCCCACTCCTTCAGGAACAGCTTGCTGATGTTATCCGAGATATGTCCTTGCTCCCACTTCTTACGGAAATCGGCAACCATCTCAGCGACCCGTCGCGCCCAATGCGCCTTCCAAGCCTTGTTTCCGGCGGCGGCGCGCAAATGATCGCTGTTCTCCTTCGCAACATTCTTCATGCTGTCCACGACATTGGCACTGCTTTGAAGAGCATCATAGAGAATGGCAAGGACGTGGGGCCCGGCTCTCTCCCATCCCCATGGAATGCGATCCTCCATCTGCTCCAAACGTGCCACAAGCTGCAGGAAGAAACCCTCCACCGCAAGCAACAGGGTCCAGGCCTCCACCTTTAGAGTTGTTTGCATGCACCATGCCCCACCTTCATAGCGGAACATCTGCTTCGAGTGCACGCGCCACCGCTCTCCGTCGATCAGCATGGCCACACAAAAGCTTGCTGTCTATTGGAGAGCTGGTAATTGGCCGTCTCCACCTGGCACAAGAACTTCACGAGGGAGAGCAGCTTCCGATTCTCTGGGCTTAACGCGGCATGGTCGCGCTGCCGCGCTCCACCCAGTGCACGAACGTCTCGCACAAGGATCGCAAGGAAGTGCCTTTGGAGAGTGGGGCAGGTTCCGGAACAGGAGCACGCACGCCAGCCGCGCGGATGCCGTCGTGAATGTCACTGAAAGCTCGAAACCTAGCAAGCAAATGCGCTAATCCGTAACTACATGATGGGCAGATGCGGTAACCCGTAGCTTCGTGATGGGCTGTCGGGCAACTAAGCGCAACCCCCCGCAGATTAGTAACTGAGGTCCAGACAGATTGGCTCCCCGAAGTCGTTTCACGGGCGGCGCAATCTCGGCTGGGACGTCATCAGGAAGCCCTCGACCTCCATGATTCTCTCG